GATTTACACATTCTAGATGGGTTTTGTAGCCTGTGCTGAGCTCCATGCTCCCTGTGATTGGCACCTGAGCTCAGGTATATTTGTGCAAGCAACAGTCACAGCTTGATTGTAGTATAGACATAGCCATAGTATCTAATCCCTGATCCCAAGGAGTGAGCAGTCTAAGCAGAAAAAGCTTTGGGTTTAAAGGAAACATTTCCCCCCTTGGTAAGTGGGGGACCTGAGGAACTGATTTACTTTCTTGTCCAATCATACAGAAAGTCTGCAGCAAGCCAAGTGAAGAAGTGAAATCTTGGGAGGCCAGTGTCTTAACTTCACAGCCATCTTGCTGTCCAGATTAAGGAAGAGAGAACTGCCCCGATTAGCATATGCCGACCCTACTGTGCAATAACTAATCAGAAGTTTTGCACCCAGCTTGATTAGAATCAATGAAATCCATGCAAGGCCAGTTAGCAAGGCCTGATTATTTAGCTCTTGTGTAAGGATCAAGAAGCTCTATTGCTAGTTCGTTTCAATAAATTAAAAGTTGAATTTTGTGCTGTTTCACAGTTGATTGGTTTTTATTGATGCCTGGCAATAGAGGCTCATATAAATGTTGAAGTTAATAGAGGAATGATCAGGCTTCCCTAATATCTATATTGATTTGCCCTTTTCTTTGTGCCAACTCACTTTCTCTTTCCTTCATAACTTATTTCCAATGCAAATAAACCTTTTCCCTTACTCACATTATGAGCCTTACTATTAATGAGCAGTTAATAGAAAGTATCAGCTATGAAGGGTTTCAGTTAATTAATTTGAAGCCCAGTGTCTTGATGCAGTACATTAAGCATGATGCAACAAGGATGATGACCCTAGAGAGCATTGAGACTGTTTTGAACTGAGTCTTTCATTTTAACCACACACAGTGTTTTTTTTTGAACCACACAAAGCTTTCTGATGCATCAGAATTGGCATCACATGGAAAAGATCTACCAGAAAGCTCAATAATAGTTTTCTCCCAAAGCATGCTCACTGTAAGAGCAGGCAAGGCCCAGATTATCCTTAGTCTTTGTTAACAAGGCCTTGTTTCTGTTAGTATTAATAGAAACAAGGAACTTCCAGCTGGAGTTTGGAGTGATGCCTAATTCTTCCTCCAAATGCATGTTAAATAATCAGACACAGTGCCTGCATGTGGGGAATCCCAAGGGTTCTTTAAGGATGATGAAAGGAAGCCAGGCATTTATTAAAGTTAGGGACCGGATGTGGTATGTAAATGGCTAGCAACAAAGGACAGTCCATTCTTAAGATGTTTCCAATATGCCAGTTGGGGCTGAAAGTGATCCTATCCCAAGACTGGAAACCAAAACAACCTCCATTCAAGCAGCCAGGAAGGGATTGATCAGCACTGTATACATAAATAAAATAGCTTTGTCAGACCTATTTGAATGCAGTCACTGGAGGAGTAGTAGCTACAGCAGCAGCAACAGTAAATGAGCCTAATTACTGGATTTGGCAGTGGACATCCATTGATTCATTTGAAAAGTATGATTCTGTCCTTCCTTTGCCATTTCAACTCCTGTCAAAATGCAAATAGTGCGAGTGAAGGAGAACATTGCAAAGGGAGGTTGTGTTCTCCTGGCTAGAGGCTTCCATTCATTCATTGGTCCCATTGTTTCCATGATCTAAGTAGTAGAGCGTGTGTATTTACAGTCCGCTTTTAATCTTTGGAACTACGAATCATTTTCCAGTGTATTTCTGAGGAATTCTATGCCAAAGACATTTGGTAAGACTGTATGGGAGATGCCAATAAAAGCTGCTGAAAATTAATGAGACACACTGATCTCTTATAGGGAGACATGGGCTTGCCCGGCTTGACTGGTTTGCCTGGACCACCTGGTCGGAAGGTAAGAGTATTTTCTTTATTATTGAATTAAAATGATTGCCAGTAAATAAGAATTGTCCTTCTTAGACATCTCTGCTTGAAAGATTTCTGTGTACTTTAGTAGATTTAATTATGCCTTGGCAGGCAGGGACGGGAGAGCAAGTTGGTATCCCCAATGTACAAGTGGATGAAGGGAGGCACAGAGACGAGTAAGACCATGTCAGAGCAGGGAAGAGAGCCCTGCCTCCCATTCTGCTTTTCTAGGCACTGCGATCCTCAGCCTTTCTGGCTTCTTACTCCTTGTCTTGAAGGAAGAATGCCTTGGTTTAAGCCAGGTTTAGTTAAGACACGCTAAGTCCAATCTAAACTTTCTTTATCTCAGCTACTTACACATTGCCCCCATAACCATGTTATCAAAGCACCCACAATCTTCTAATCCCATTCCCATGAGAAGGAGCAGTCCTATTATCACCACTTTAGATGAGGAACAGAGACAGAGAGACCCAGTGACTTGTTCAAAGTTACACAGGAAGTTTATGGTAGGGAGAGGAATTGAACCCAGGCCTCCAAAGACTAGCTCCCCATCTGCTAGAATATCCTCCTCTAAGCAGTGTTTCCCCAGGCTGTATATATGCAGGCTTATATCATTTATCTCAGATCGTTCTACCCAAGGCAGGAGCTGAATTAACCTACAGGGCATTTTTGTGCATATATGCTAAGGAAGGGTTGAGTTTAGATGTTGCCTATCACGCACATGTTAATGGAGCCAAACCTCAGCTTGATCATGTTTCTTGGGCAAGACAAACCCTTATTGGTTTGGAAAAGCTTTTCTTTCTCTCTTTCATTGTGAATGGAGCTCAAAATTAACACAGGTCTGCTTTGTTTGCTTCTGTATTGTGCGTCAGTAGCCCTAACGTCTCCAGTAATGCGCTTGTCCCCAAAACTGATGTCAAGGGCTAACGTGTGAGATTCCTCACTGCCATGTTCTGTCCTTTGTGTCTGCAACAGCGTGCGCAACCTCACATCCCTGCATCAGCCACATTCCCGTGACTAAGTGTGCTCACACTTCTGGTGGTGGCAAATTCCACAACTCTGCTCCTCTCTTTTGTGGGGGAGCTTTTATTTTTCAAGCATTTTAGTTTAGTGTTGTTTTGTTTCTTTACCCTACTGCAAAGTACCAGCCTAATGCAATAGATGGAGGAGTGGAAAAGGGCTTTTGGAGGACAATGGATCCCCATCATGGGGATGCTTAAGAACAGCCCCACAGCCGGGAACTCCCAGTTGTCATATTTTTACAGTCTAATATATTAGAGGCCTTGCTAAATGTTTCAGAGAAAGGATAATACTTTCCCCCTGCTGGGTTCAAGCAATTCCCTTGTGAATAGTGAAAACCTACTTGATGGCTTATGGGGTTAGTGGGCTTCAGTGCTATTTGCAGTGAGCAGGTATCACCATTACAAAGCTGAACACCAAACTCCATACTTTTCCTGGTTATCATGGGAGTGACCAGGCCATAGAGAAAGCTCCCCTCAAAGTAAGTGCCACACCATAAGCCCCTACCGACAAACCCCTACTGAGATCAGGGACTAAAGCCACTTGGAAGAGCTTCTGCTATACGGGGGCCTTCAGTCTCCAGGGCTGGCAAATGGCTACCTTTCACCTGCATGAAATACGCAGCATGGGGTGCTGGGCCGATCCATCCCATCACCAGTCATGAAAACAGGAGCTGGGGTTGTAAACCATCTGCAGGGGTGATGATACTTGTTCAGTCTTGGGTATTGAGCCAAAGAGCGCAGCGGTCAAGACTTATCCCACCTCCACTGTCACAAACTAGTTCTTATGAATTAGGTCTAAAGAACATCGTTTTCTTAGCATAGCAGCTCATAAAACAAAACCTTGCGGTTTTGATCAGCAAAATGCAGTGTCAGGAGAGCATAGGCCTGTGGTGGAAAACGTGGAGAAGGAATAGGAGATTAAACAAACATTCCCAAACCCAGCTGCATAGCCCCCACACCTGATCTTGGCAAACAGACTCCTGAAGCTCATTCACGGATAGTGTTGGTGGGGGAGAAAGGGGAATGCTGTTTCTTCAAGTCTACAAGTAAGGTGGATGATGAGATTTTCCTGTGGTGCACTGCACAAAAAAATAAACACATAAATAAATAACTAAAATGAAACCACAGCAGTGCTAGCCTGGCAGGCATTTTGGTACTGCCTGGAATTTATTAGACTTCTAAATTAAGAAAAAAAATTAAAAGCTGTTGGAGAAATATTTGGACAAAACAGTTTTCAATCTCAATTCCCTGCTGGCATCACCCCAGTGAAAATATGGCATTTGGCTGCAGACTGGGAGTCTGGTTAAGCTACAAGAAAATGGCAAAGCCTTGAAAACTGGTGTAAGCGAGAAGGAAATGGCGTTCTCCTTTTGTGGGACTGATGGGAAAGAGCTTCATGTTGTGGCTTGGATGGAACGGCGCTCCATTCATCTGCAAATGCGGTGTAAGAAGTTCCAGAGAGAGAGAATTTTCCCTCTACCACAAGACATTTTTCCTTCCCCTGCAGTCTGAGCTGGAGCCACTACCAAAAGGACGTGGTTTAGCGTGGTACGGTTTGCACCATAAGAACACCTCTGTGATGCAAATGCATGGGGAGGGAATCTTTTCTTTGCAGATTTGGATGCTCTGGCCTCAGGACACCCACAAAAACCTTTGCCTGTGCCCAACTGCAACCAGCTGCTCAGACATGGGATACCAAAAATGCTGTGGTTTTGTCCAAGAGAGATGCAGTTCTCATCCTCTTCACATGGAACAAATTTTATTTTTGCTGCACAGCAGTTTTAGAAAATGGTGGCAAGACCTTAGCTTAAAGGGCTTCTCTTTTGGTGCCTAAGAACCCATGAATGGCGTGTGGTTTTTGGCTGTTGGAGGCAGGCAATGGCTGCCTTGCAAATGTATTTTAGCAAAATGCTTTGATTCTCCTGAGACAAACTGTACAGAGACCTGAACAGCTGGAACTGAACATAAGGGTTGACAAAGTGAGGTACTGAGAGATTAAGAGATTCTCCCAAGGTCATGGAGACAGAGCTGGGAACTGGACCTAAATTTACTGAATTCCCAGTTCAGGGATCCAGCCCGAAGCCCTTCCTTCCAAAGAGGCAGCACACAGCAAGCAGCCTCTTCCAGCCTGGCCAGATCAGCTTGTCAGACCACCTCCAGTCCCCGCAGAAAGCAAGGCATTGTAGCTAGAGATAGCATGGCTATAAACCTCGTCACAGATGAGCAAACCTTTCAGTGAAGTGTAATTTCCTTTTGAAATCGCAGCCCTTTATGTTTAATGCCCTGTAATCATCAGGAAGTGTTTGGATAGGAAAGCAAATGCAGTTGTTTTCATATGCTCTTCCCTGTCATTTTAGTGCTATTTAAAGAGGAATGCGGCAGGTAAACACTTTCACATACCAGCCAGCCTTAGAATACATAAGCTTTTTTTGTCCTCACTACAATTAACCTCAGACAGTGGTAATCACAGGTTAATGTGCAGAAAGACACATTTTAAACTCCCCTGAGTTCACTCTAAACAATGAAGATTATATTTAATAGGACGCAGCAATAATGTGCTAGATATATATTTAGCTTAAGAGCTATTCACTAGCCTTTATAGATAAAACATTGTCATGCTTAGTGCAGACATTAGCTCAGGACTTGTATTTATAGTCACAGTCTCCCTCTTCCAACCATGGTGCATTCGCAGTCCTGAGGAGCAATCTAATTCCTGAGTGTTCTAAAGGAAACTTTTACACTTGATTTTTATTTTTTAGGAGGGAGAGAAGAAGAGCTGAAAAGGAAGAGGAAAGAATTAAAACGTTTCTCTCCCCTCTCCCTGTCTTTCTGTCTAGGGGCACAAAAAAGATTCATTCTTTTAGCCTGCACAATGCTCTCCAATGACCTTCTGCACCTAGCGTTAGGACCTAATTTGGATTTGATATAGACCTGGCTCCAGTTCTCCTACAGATATTCCAGTTCTGAAATCCAAATCAGAGCCTTGACGGGGCTCTTAAAAGAGAGACCTTTTCTTCCTTAGGGAAGAAGGAATTTTTTATTCCATGGGTGGAGATAGTTTCTGAAAGGGATTATCTCTGTTTTTTCAGTGCCAACTTTGTTGCACTACACAAGGCATTAATAATGAGATGCTACCTCCACCCACGAGCTAGGAAGAGAAAATCTACCATTGATGCAAATACATTTGCTCTCTGTTTCACAGCTGGTCCTTCAAATGCCAGCCCAGCTGCTTGCATTACAGGGTGTTGTACAGCAAGAAAATTAAAAAGAGGGGGTTGTGGGGGAAAGAGAGAGTGAAAGAGAGAAAGAAAGCATGCACGCACATGCCTGGGCTTGAATTTCTTTGAACACGAGAACCTCTGAAGTTTTAAATCTGGACTTAACCCCCTGCAGCTAGGTCCCCAGAAAGTGTATTTATTGGGGAACCTTAAAAAGGCCCGTTTATTTCTTTGGGATGGGGGAGGAGAAAAAAGACATCTAGTCTAGATTTTGGATAACTATTCAAGTCTCAGAAATGGTTGTAGGCTTATGTCAGGTTGACGGCACATTGCAGGTCTCAAAGCTGAGATTCCAAGACATTGACTTCAGGGTATTTATGTGATGATTAGGATCTGATGCTGGGCAGTGGCTGGAGAAGAGAAATTGTTCCTCTTGTCCAGTACTTCTGCAAACAGCTTTTTCCAGCGGCTGTCTAAAGCATTGCCCTGGTCTCACCTGTAGGTATTCATTCACTGCAGTGTGACGATGATGATGATGCCCCAGTAGTGCCTGCCCCATGAGCAAAGGTGATGGAAACAGTTGCCTATGAAGAAAGGAAGAGCTGTTTTGATAGAGAGTAACTGTTGCTCTATGGACATTTGGTTTTGGCTCCTGCTGTTTGTTTGGACATTGGCAATCATAGTGAGTGGGCTGCTGGTTCCAGATGAGTGCACTTAGAGCCGGGCTGGGCAAAACGCGGCCCGCGGGCCGGATGCAGCCTGCCAGGCCATTCTATCCGGCCTGTGGGGCCCCTAAAAATTTTAGAAAATTAATATTTATCTGCCCCTGGCTGCCCGTCATGCAGCCCTCAATGGCTTGCCAAAACTCAGTAAGCGGCCCTCCACCCAAAATAATTGCCCGCCCCTGACTTAGAGAGTGACTGACTTTAGCTGTGAGCCCTGGAGTCAGCTACCTACAGTCGTGGTGCCTGAGCAGAGTGGAAAGCTCACATCCTCACTGTCCCTGTAGAGTATGGGATGGACAGAGCCCAGAGACAGAAATACCCCAAGGCATCCGGTGATAACTCTTAAAGAAACAGAATCTCTCCAGTGCATTTGGCCAATATGTAACCCGTCAACCAGCAAGAGCCTCAACATGGACATAGTATCTGGGATCTAAAATTAGCGCAGGTTATTCATTGTCCTTCCCAGTTGAGGTTTTGAGCGTGGTACAAATGTAGCAGTTTTTTTCCTCCTGAATTTGGTGCCGTCTCTGAGCAAAAGGCTAAGCATTAAGCTCCTGACCAGTTCTCCAATGGGCATAGCACTGATTTTGAAATATCTAAGAAGGAAACAAAGACAGTCATATGCCACCCAAAGCCATTGGATTGTACAAACTTTAGGTCACTACCTGCTTGGAGATCCATTGGTAAACTTTATCCTGTTACCTGAGCCAGTCAGTCCTCTTTTGCAAGTCTCTTTAAAAAAAACCCTTGGGTCAATAGCAGTGCCCACATTGACCCAAACAGGTTCTGGATCAGGACTTTTGTTATCTAATTCTACGAGGTTCAGGATCCTTGCCACTCATAGGATCTTTAAAGAAAATCACATTTTTTTCTATAGACAGAAAGAAAACATAGGGTTGCAATATAACGGTAAGCTCAAGCAGGATAAACTGGGTGATGAGGGATTAAGCATTTCTCCAAATCCAAATACCTGAAATAGTAAATAAAGAGGAATGCAAAGAAGACTGGGCTGAAACCCAGGGATCATTATGAGGGCCACATACTGCTGTCAGGGAAAATTAGCCGGCAGTTCTAGAAGATCCTGTGGGAAGAATAAAAAAGGCAGTTGAACAGAACTGTAGAACAGGAAAAGTCCCAGGCTCATCTGGTGAGTGAACTGAAGCACTTCGCCAAAAAGGATTCAGTTGTGACTCCTAGAGCAGGAAAAATTTATTACATAGCATGTTCCACTACCGCACAGTGACCTTCTGGGATCCCTATGCCAAGACAGGGCGTAGGGATTAGAGATCAGGAAATAGTTAACCGTTATAGCTCAACCTGAAGGTATTTCGTTATTCCTGTAGTTTTTTTGTTGAGGTTTGATATTTTTTCCAAGGTTTGTTTCAAATTACACTTTTCTGTTCTCTATAACCTTATGACTAACCCAATTACAGCGTTTCTCTCTCCATAGCCCTGCCTGGGCATACGTGTCAAAGGTCTGGGTGACCTCTCGTGCATACATCATGATCCAGAAGGATCAATGGTTGCATAATACTACTACTACTCTGCAACTGAATTTAATCTTCTAGTCTAGTTTGATTATTTGGTGGAGACAAGTTTATTTTTAATGGCTACAATAACATTATAGGAAAAGCAAAGGTCTAACATGCCTGCCATCCCAAACCATTACTCTATATTCAAAGCAAGTTTCTGGTAAATCCTGGAAAACAGCCCTAAAGAACTTGAAGTCTAAAAAGCAGGATAAAGGCAAGGTGGGTGGTGAAAAGTCAGCACGACTCCTACCTTTCTTCCAAATCTAAAATCATCTTTTTCCATAGAGCTTTCTTCTGAGGTCTGATGAGAAATTCAAGCTAAGTGCATGTTATTTTATTCTGTTCTCTTCTCTGATTTTTTTTTTAAATAGGGATACAAAGGCTATCCTGGACCACCAGGTCATCCTGGAGACCAGGTGAGTGCTCCTTCCAGATTTGAAAATGTAACCTACCAAGTGGGTTGGGTTCCTTGTTTCTTATCTGATGATATCCTGAAATGAAGTCAAGTCATTTATCAACCTGCTTGGTTCAGGCAATATGCTTTTCTAGGGATAGTTTGATACAGAGACAGTTAATGCAGTTTGCTCATGCCAACTGGGAGTTATGTACATACATTGACTATGCATCAATGGGATGGTGGGAAAGGACTTAAGCTATGCTTCTAACTTATTTCTAGTCTTTACTGCCCAACCTGGCATAAGTTTGCGTGGTTGAAATAGGCACAGACTCATACTTACCCATTTTCCTTTACATTAATTTTTCTGCTGGAGTTTACTAACCACATCTTACTAGGTTGTAATTCTTTCCCCCTTTCCCCCCTCCCCCCGCCATTTTTATTTGGATAAGTCTAATGTTTGCAGTAAAACAGCAATGAATAGCAGGGCCTGTTAGAGATGATGTTAAAGGATATTATACATGAATTCATTTAGTTTTAAAGAATTTTGGCAGAGCTCTTACCCTAGTAAAACAGTTCCATATGCCAGAGATATAGACACAGACTTGCACCTTCTCTTAGGCTCCTTGTTCCAAACTATCTGCAGGTTTCACCGGAGAGGTTGGGGGGGGAAGGGGGGTGGATAGCAACACTTAGTTAATGCTCAGATCCTGTCAAGTTGGCTTCTGTTAGTTTTTTCCCTTCATTAATTTATTCCCACTGCTGCGTTTAATCCAACATTTCTCTCTCTTTATAAATCTGTATCAAGTGAATGTGCAGCCCTTCCCCAGGACAAGGTAGCTAAAAACTCGTAGGCAGGGGAACTAGCATCACCTTCATGTACTCATCTTTTATTTCGGTTTTTTTATTAAAGGGTGAACGAGGACCAGATGGGAGCCCAGGTGCCAAAGGTTATCCTGGCAGGCAGGTGCAGTAAATCTTATCGTGCTGTGCACAGAGTAGTGATTTGGGTGTGCAGGTAGCTACAAGCATCCCCCCCAACGTATACAATGCAGACTCCTTGAAATGTGTTTGGTTTTTCTTCCCTTCCTCCCCCTAGCTTTTGCATAAATTTATGTGGTCCTTTTGGATTTGTTAGTGAATATTGTCCCTTCCTTACTGTCATTTCCTTTAAGAAACAAACACACTTGTGATCCCTGGAGAATCTGCTCAGGATATTGGGTGATCTCATGCAAATATGGTCATTGCAGGATCTACGCTTGCACTGGGTGTCAGAGAAACAGGCTACAGACATAAGCAAAGAAAAAGCCACTAAGCATGTCTTGCTCCTTCACAGATATTGACTCTGTACTGCAGCATCTACTCTGTACATAAAATCCCTTATGGATGAGACCCTGCTGAATATGTTCCAAAGAGTTAGAAATTCCGTGTGTCTGGCATCCAAGGCACATACCCATATCCCAAATAAAGATAGGGTTAAGGGAGATGGAAAATGTATTCCCTTTGTTATGCAGAGAAAATGCAGCATCTACAGTCTATGAAGTTGAAGGGTTGGAACAACAGTACTGGAGGATCTCTTGACTTGTCACAAAGATTCCCAGTAACTATCTATATCCAAGCACTGGTGAATCATCCAGCCCCACAAGAAACACAGTTACTGGGAAATTAGTGTATTATAATTAGGGCTGTCAAACAATTAAAAAAATTTGTTTGTGCTTAGTTGTGTGATTAAAGAAATTAGTCGCAAGTAATCGCAATTTTAATCACACAGCTAAAAATTCAAAACTAGGTGCAGAAAATCTCAAAATTGTGCAAAATTATGCAGATCCTTTGTATGGTTGGGGGGTAGGTGTGTGTATGGGGGGGATTTGTGAAGGTGTGGGGGGCTATGGGTATGTGTGGGGGGTTTGAAGCTTGAGGACAAGGACAGGGGGGTCCCCAGAAAGTATATTTATAGGGGAACCTTAAAAAGGCCCATTTATTTCTTTGGGATGGGGGAGGAGAAAAAAGACATCTAGTTTAGATTTTGGATAACTATTCAAATCTCAGAAATGCAAGGTACTGTGGGTCAGGAGTGAGGAGCAGCAGAAGGGCAAGGGGGCTGTGGTTTGGGAGTAAGAATATAAACCACTATAAAATCACACACTATAATGGAGATAACTCTAGATCAGGGATGCCAGAAGTGACCCTCACTCCACATGAAGCCCAAATGACAAACCATCATTCCACATCAGTTTCTGTTTCTGTTCCTGTGTAGGCCCATTGCAAGCAACACTGAATAAGCCAGCCCACCAGCACAATAATCATTTACGCATGAAACAGAGAACATAAGAAAATAGCATTTCTCAAGTTATTTGCCAGAAACACTTAGAGAAGGGAAGAGTCTGTAGAGGGAAAGAAAACAGAACCTCGTGTGTTGCTTACTTATTGCTCTAGAGTGATGCTGGTGGGCATGGCAAGAAGGTAGAGAATTTGCCTGCGGCTCCAGATGGAAGTGTCCATGGACCTTTGTCATGGAGGGCCTGAACTTGTAATATTTTATTTATTCCAGGTCAGATCATCAAGATTATTAAAAATAGCCACCTTAAATGTATGCTCCCAGATCCATATTCAGGCACCTGAACAAGATTTGTCAGTAGTGCTGAGCAGCCAGTGATGCTCGACTGGTTGTTGTAGAATTAGTCACTTGAGTTAAGGATGCTGGGCCCAGAATGCACCAAGCATTTTCTGTGCAGATCCAAACACTGCTGTGCTTCAAATTGAATGCTTAAATATGCACATACTAGGGCTGGCTAGGGTTTAGACCCCAACTACAATTGCACTAGACCTTGACCTAGCCTAAACACTACACTTGCACTGTAGGGATACTTATATAAAAGTTGTCATATACAGATGCAGGCTTAATTTCATTATTGATAATGACCTAGTACATATATTAGATGATATTTTCTGCATTCACACATCTTACAAATGTACGTGAGTAACTGAGGGTCCACTTAATACACACTAGAAATATAAAACTGACACCTTACAAGAGATACCTCAGTCTGTGGAGCTCAGGCATAAATGTGCAGACATACACTGAAAAAAATCTTGAGATTTGTATATACCTGATTGCAAATGCTGTGTTCATGCTGCTCACCAAAGCTCCTGAGAATATTCCGTGAGCATGAGTTTATCAGCTCAACCACTATAAAAACCATCTGAGCAACAAAAAACATACAGGAAAATGGGTGCTGCTTAACAGAGTTCAGTGGTATCCTACACCCTAGCAGATAAACTGGGCAAAATATGTTTCCAAATACATAGAGAACAATAGTGTTTTATAAAATGCAATTTTGGTCAGGAAAGTGACTTAAAAAACCCCAACGTGTTTTCTCCACAGACTTGATGACACTGTGTACCCAGCATCAGCTCTGATTATTTTACTAAGATTTTACTACTTGTTACTCCTGTCAGCTATGCTGGCTCTGCAGTGGTATGAGAGAGGGAACTTGGCTTTATTTTGGTTCGTGCACCATAGGTAGACTTGTTAACTATATTTTGATGGTAGAAAATTTCTTCTGGGTGACGATACATGAGCCAGAAGAGAACACAGCTTGACTTTCAGATCCCAGGTTGAGTACACAGAGCTGCCAACTAAAGAAAATATGAATTAATCCTTTTTACTTGGAAAGTAGACAAATACAATCTGGAGACTTGATGAAAGACAATAAACATGGAAGCTCATTATGCATTTTTATAGGATCCCTTTTCACAGTACTTAAGGGAGAAGTGATGAGTACAGAGATACAGTGAAGCTTATTTTTATTTCTTTCCATAGGCTCTGATGCCCTGGGCAGAGTCTACAAGTTAGCTCATTTTGTGTGGATGATCTTTCTTTTCTTCTGTTGAAACCAATGGGAATTTTACTATTGACATCAAGAGGAATAGGACTTGGGCCCAGCTTGTACCTAGAAAAGTAGAGTAATTAGTTACAAATCTGCCAGATGCTAATGATAAAGTGGTCATTCACAACTTGGAGTACTTAAGTCCACAATCTATTTTTAATTGCATACAGCATCTGTAGTGCAGGGCTAATCCATAGCCTGTGGAAGTCAAAGAGAGTTCTTCCAGTGTTTTCTGTGTGATTTGGGTCAGGTCTCATCTTTGTTCCCCTCACAGGCATTAAGGTGTATTTGTCATTGCAAAGACCTGCCTTCTTATATATATATGATTCAGCAGCTGCAAACTCAGCCCTGCTGTTTGAGCAAGGGATACAGTCTGCACAGTGTCATTTTATATTGCCAGTAATGTAACTTGCACCCCACTGTGCCAGCCTTCCTGGTCTTTGTGACCAGAATTTTCTAGTTTAGATTGAATGGTTCGGGTCCCTTTGCATGTATTCTGTGTTTTCTAAAATTACCAAGTTTTGTAGAGTCATTTCTCCACAACAATTAGGGAATTGTTCTGGGTTTTTTCTGTATTCTCCTTTGATGATAACCCTTGGGTTAGTCTCCAAAGCAGCAGAAGCACACTGGGAATAGTGCTGTAAATTTGGCAGTGTTCACTTGGGTTAAGTTAAAATCTGTCCACATTTGTCTTTGTTCTTATTCTTGTGTTTCAGGGTCTACCTGGACCAATAGGCAGGGCCGGTCCAAAAGGCAATCGGGTAAGTAAGCCAGTCCTTTTCACTGTATTCTCTCCTGACACTCACCACCGGATACCTCCCCCTCCTTGTACTCAACTTTGCAACCAGTACAAGCTTCTTAAGTTATTGATATTACACAGAGCTCATTAAGTCAGTGCATCATTAAATTCCCAATCTGTTCAAAATTGAAATGTACTAAAATCAAAGAAGCAAATTTCCCAGTGCTGATGGTGCCATCACTTAGTCAACCCTCTCCAAGAGCAAAGAAGTAGAGAGGAGCGCATGTGGTACCGATCCCAGAGGTCTGGTCTTCCAGCTTCAGTCTGTGGGGCCTCTTCAGCTTTGACAAATGTGGTGATTAAGCATATTGGGAACATGCTAAAGATGGGTTCTTCTGGGTGCAGGCTGGTCCTGAATGTTATGAACAGCAAAATTTAGGACCAGTTTACATCTCTGTATATAACAAGCCAACATCTTGAAACCACATGCAAATAAGAACAATAATGTTCCTGCTCCACAGCTTGGGCAGGCTTTTTGTATCGAGCACACGGAGGGGGGATTCCTTCGGACTATGAAGGATGACTTTTCTTTTTTTATAATTAAAACAACAGATAACCACCCTTCTGCTCTCTGCCAGCAATTACAAATCCATAATGACACTCTGGGCCAGTAAAAGTGCCTGTTTCCCTACCACGTGTTTCTTTCCCCAGCATCAGTAAATGCTACCAGCTGGCTTCCATCACTAGAAAAACTGCAAACAATAAAGAAAGGCTGACCCCATAGCTAACTTTATTCCTGTACTAAGGAGAGAAATGGCAGGGGTGGGAGGAAGGATCGGTTGTTTAATATACTGCGGTAGAGACAGATCTGTGATAGTACAGCTTACTTACCTACTTTGCTTCTCTTAGTAGCCCTGTTTCTGACACACACAGTTTACTGACCTAACCAGGACTCTGAACTAGAGATTTGTGTGATTATTGATCACTGAAAACTGTAGGTTTTGAGTACTGGCATGACTATTTAGGGTCTTTGACACAGAGTAAGACTTTAAAATGTCCATCAAGACTCCCGAATACTGAGGGCTGAGATTTTTTTGAGCTCCCCAAGGATGGAAACTTTCACTTCTATTACAACTGATTAGAAATGGGCCTTGACATCTCTTAGCCCAGACTTCAACTTTTTATGGGTGAAAGACACTGAATTCTTGACTGCCTCAGCCACATATCCTTTTCTTGATGGGGAGCATGGGAACAAACAACAATTAAATGGATTTGTGTGTGATCCAGGACGAGGAAGCAGATAACAAGTTGGATGGCTGGCCCTCTCTGAGCAGTTTTACATACCACCAGAGTATTGTTTTATATGGAGCTACTAACTAGCTGAAATACTGAAACAGGATGTAAAAGTATGATGGATTCTCCAAAGAGCAGGAGCCTCGTTGTGACAGATAAGCGGAGAAGTGTAGGTGGCAGTGAGGGGTTGATGGTGTTGGGGTAGACAAGTGGTTCAGTGTTGGCACTTGATACCTACTGTATGGTGACATGACTTTTGGGGAGTCAGTTCAAGTGGCTTTCTGCTAAAAGTTGTTTCCTTTTGATTCGGCGTGTTTGGCAGAAATGGTCCCTTGCAAAAGACAGCACACAAGGTAACTTTGTTTTAATCACTGAGTGCAGCAAATTAAGCACAAGTCTCTGATTGTTGTAAGTGAAAGGAAACATAGCACTTTGACAGCAGCTTTTGCCCGTGCAGGATCCTAAAGCACTAGAGAAACGTCACAGACCTGAACCCCAGCAATCGCTAATGAACCTAGGTGGAGCAAACCTTATGCTAAACAGAGCATTAATTTTCACAGTTCGATTGCAAAGGGAATGTAGGCACACTGAAAGCTGAGCCACTGTGAATGGGCATTAAGAAGTTTAACTGGGCACACAGGGTCGCCTCCTGCACCCATGCATTGTTTAGTATGGGTCCTTGGCTCCTGTGGAGAGAAGGTCAGGAAAGGGCTCAGGAAGGAATTTGGTATTGAAAGAACTTATGGCTTTGAACAGAGCTATCATTGAGTTGTTCAGGTGTTGCATAGTTTGTAGCACCGCAGCACATCAGAAGAAGGGTACCAAGCCAAGTGAGGTGGTTCATAGGTCGGTATAGACTGCTTGGGAGGAGACTCTAGGGACTGTTTGATATAGGACAGTTGTATGATACAAGGCAACTGGAGACAGGGAGCATGGGAACTTGATGTGTGATGGGCTGTTGTGTAGTGCGGCTGGAATCAGTATCCCTGGGTGACAACAAGAGTAGAGGGGGGAAAAAAATCTTTGTAGACCTTCAGGAAGACCAGGCCCTTAAAGGTCTCTGCTTGGCATGGGCATGCAGATGATTGTGGCTGTAACTCCTGCTAATCTGAAACCAAGCTCCATTTCCCTCAGGTACAATCAGACCCAGCCCAGGTAAGGTTACATCCGACTGGCCTCTTCCTGCGCGGAGTTCTCATGATCCCTGGTGTGAGGGTATGTGCCCTTGGACTACATCGTGGAAGCCAGCACCATGCAGTCCATGGGCATATACACTTGCCTCAAGGTTTATTTCATCACGACTGCCATAGACCAACGCTGGAGGATCCTCTGCTGTTCAGGAAGGACAGACAGATTGATACCTAGGCAGAAGAAATGTATTTGACTTCTTGTTTCCTCTTCTCCTTAGGGATATATTGGTCTCCCAGGATTATTTGGGCTGCCAGGGGCTGACGGAGAACGAGTGAGTATTTTGCGAGGAAAGCCTTGGCACGTGCTCTTTGTCTGTCTCCAGATTCTCCAGTACCTATTGCAGCCCATTCTGGATGTGACTCGTCCCTTGCCTTCCCCACTACTCAGAGTACAGGCAAGAGGGCCTACGGCTGAGACAAAGAAATAGCTGCCTTCTTCATCATGCTCTTTTCCTTGTATGGAAGATGGCTTCCAAGCAGGGAGCTCCTACCCTTTGATTCAACAGAGGGGAGTTTTCAAATGGATTGTATTTTTCTTTTTGGTACATCTTTATGGAAGAAAACCAGTGTTTAAGTGAACAATCCCTTTTTCCACTGTGACTATTGATTTTGGATGGCCAACTGGAGACCCTTTGAAGGGGCCTGGTTTACAGAGGTCGGCTGCTTGGCATTGTCTGACAATTAGTTCGTTTCCAGCATCTCAAGCTGGTCAATCAAAAATTGAAGCACAAAGTATGACTAGTCACCTCTGGGAATCCTAGTCCTAGGTCATAGATCCCTCTGTCCTCATCCCTTTCTGCATGTCACTACTTCTGATCTTGAAAAGAGCTTCACAGGCCCTTCTTTTCCTGCCATTGGCCATCCATGCAGTAAAGGGCCCACTCAGCCCCCAGCCACATCCAAGGAGGTTCACTGTAAGATGTGGATTGTATTACTTCTATTTTTCCTCCACGTCATTGACAAACACAGGCTCCAGAAACAAGACAGGCCCCAGGAGCGTGTGCATGTGTGTGCGCACACATGGGAGGAACTATCTAATGCTCTGGAGTGGCTGATTTAATGCTTGTATAACAAAATAAGAAACATAAACAGAAGCTCTCCAGCAAGTGCTTTGGCTGTAGTCTTCATTTGGTTCCAACCCAGTAGCTTAATTACTGCTCCTGCTGAGCACTTTCAGCCTTCTGCCCCTGGGTGTGGATGGTGCTTGTGCATGCACTATGGGAAGGTTACAGTCAGTGGGTTAAGGTTAATTGTCTTCCTACACTCCCTTGCTCTTACTGCTGACTGCAAATAGCTGACATTTGGGTTTCTGAACAATGCTGCAGCTATTGGGTTGTTTTTATTCCTCTTAGTTTTGTTTTGATTTTTTTTCCCCAACCAGACTTTTTTTTTTCTGTGTGTTTTCCTTGCAGGGGATCCCCGGAGTTCCTGGGAAGAGGGGCAAGATGGGTAGGCCGGTAAAGTTTTTCCTTGTCTATTATGCAGTTTTTGTTGAATGAAACTGGAAACAAAATATTTGATGCTGACTGAGTCTTTCCCATAACTTCTAGTAGGAGCTAACTGGAAGGATCAAAAAAAAAATCCTGATACCTTTCCTTAAGCAAACTGGGGATTTTAACTTTCTTCCCCTTCTTTCACAGCCTGTTCTCCATTCTCTCTCTTACACACCTCTGTTATTGTCACACAAGCTACACGCTCACCAAACTCTTATCTTCTGTAGGTTACTCTTAAGCATTCTGGTTTTTGTAACGGGTCCTGTTGTTGCAACCTCCTCCTGACTGGTCTTCTCCAATGTCATAGTATTTCCTACCTACCTATCCCCACTCCCTTCTACCTGCTTATGAGTGCCATTGCAGTCCCAGATCAGGAGCAATTTTCACTCTTTACCATGACTATACTCACCAGGTATCATGCGTGCAGCAGCATTCCTTGCTCAGAGCATGTCAGTAGATACAAGGGTGCTTTGTGATCAATATTTGTAGCTGTACCACCAGTGAGCTTTATGACATAATTAGCATTCATTAGACAGGAGGAGGCTGAATCAGATAAAAATGCTCAGCAGGGAAGGGAAGTTCAAGATCCAGGTGAGAGAGTGACGCAAGACTTAAAACTGTAAAGGAGAGTTGATGAAGCAGAGGGTTGCAAAATGGCTCTTCAAGAGGGCAGGAGCAGCAACGGCGGAGGCTGCCATGCCACCATCAGTCAAATCATGCAGCGGTGAAGCAGAAGGAGAGCAGCGAGCAGAGCAGAGAACACAGAGAAGGGAGGAGAGAAGGGTAAGGCTTGTGGGACTGTGTTCAGCAGTGAATGTGACCCTACTAAAATTGTAGTTCCAGTGTCCTAAACTGGACAGGGTGAGTTGATGGGGTGAATCTTCCCTGCACATGAAAGACAGGCTGGAGAGCTGTACTCCTGGCACGCTGGGTGTGCGCCCTTCTCCTGTATTAGCTGTTCAGCACGCTTACACCATTACTGTGCCTATTCTTTCCTATGTGAGCTCTCTTCTGTGTGCTTGTCTTGCCAGAACCATTACATCCACTGGCAGATGTGGCGTCACTAGCTCTCCAACAGCTCCTGGGCTGGCTCATACTTGTTCTCTTGTATTTTAGTACCTTTTTTGTGCCCTGTCTGTCCCGTAATGCACATTTCTGCCCCGTCTCCTTGTTCTTGGCATTATGCTCTTGTGCTTCCTTGTAAAATGCCCCTTCACCCACTTGCAGAAAAATCCACCACACCCCCTCGCTCATCCTTGCGTGCGAACATGTGCTTTCTAGGAGTCCCACGCCTACCACTTGGTGTCATTCTCACAATGAAAGCCATGCAAACATCCTGACAATCCCACATTCATCCTCGTGAACTATTCTTCTCTTTGGGAGAAGAGGGAAAAAGATAGGGAGAGAAATTGCCAGATTGTCTTATACTTCTGCAGACCGCGAGTCACATCAGAAACCTCTACAGCGAATAATTGCAAAGGATCAGTCGAAATGCTATGACTTATTGACCAGAATAAAATAAACAAGGCAACTGTCGTTAGGTACAGGGAAATGCTGAGGGTTTCTGGGCTCTGACGTGTTTCCACATACAGCATGCTGTATGCTCAACACATTCCAGCTGTTTAACCTTTTTTTCCCCCCGATCTTCCACTTGGAAGGCTTTGTCCAGCGGTCAGTGTTACAAACAGTCTGCTCCCCTGAGATCAATGGGATTCTCACTCGCAAAAACACAGGCAGTTAAGCTGAAAAGTTCAAAGGAAACTTAGGTACACCAGTGGGGTTTCACAGAGCACCTAATTCCCTTAGATTCCTTTGGAAAAATGCCAGCATTGTCTCCACCATGCAGTGTGAGGGATTTATCACAAATTGTGAATGCGCTGATGTAAATTAAAAGCCCCGCTGATGAGTATATTGTTATGGTATGGAGAGGTGGGGAGGATAAGCAGCTTGCCAAAGTTGACTCAGCAAATCCCTGATAAAGCAGAAGAGAGAACCCAGCCTACCCAACTCCCACTCCAGTACCTTATCTTCAGGGACGTGCTGCCCCTTAGGAGATGTGCGCTGTCAGGGTGCCTGGTACAATTTTGCCTGCCACACTCCTGTCCTGCTAGGTTCGCCGCTAGTATGCTGCTACTGCTGCTCTTCCTCTCCCGCGCGTGTTTGTCCTTGCAAGACAGAACTCTTGTTGCAGCCTGCACCAGCTGCCACCCTAAGTGGTTAAGGAGGAAAGGAGTTTGCGCCAGATGTGTGTTTGTACCTAGCTTTGCTTGGTATTCGACCTGGAAAGATTAAGTGTGGGTATTTTGTGTGTTGTACTGTGGGCCTCCCAGAATGATGTAAGAGTGTAAAGATTAAAACAGACGAACTGGACGTGAGTCAGCTTTTGAAACCATTCCAGTGCAGTTAAGCCCAGCAGAGCTGTAAGAAACATGGTGAGCATGTCCCCAGAACAGCCATTCAGCTGACTCCCCGTCTCACTCCGCTCTCTCTACAGCGCATCATAAACGTCGCAGTGGGAGCATTGAAACTGTGTGGCACTAAGGAGCTCCAAAGAGAGAGGTTTGGGGGCGAATTGTAGAGAGAATTTATTGTTAAATATGATGTTCAGGGAGACTGGAGTAACACAAGTCCATGATAGCTGCAGGACCGCTGTCTCTTTCGAGGGCAGGCTGGAACCTTGGGACCAGCATAGCTGTTTTTAAATCTTCATGCTTAACAATGTGATGGCTGGGAGCACTGAAGTTTTATGGTCCTCAGCTGGGCAGCTGACAACACAGTCCTTGCATGTGAGAGAAGGATGTGAAATGGTAACCTCGTTGTTCTGAGGGTGGAAAGCATAAAGGTCCAGGTATGCAGAGGAGGTCGGGAGACGGGAGGAACAAGAGCTAAAAGTTTGGTTCTTTGTGCATGCCAGAGAGGCAAGCTGATGCTCATGCCTCATTAAAAGGACAACATTTCTTCATTCTTCAGGGCATGAGACAGATGGTGGGAGGAACATCTGTATATGGAAGAGTATATGGCCCTCCACCTTACCTTCCCCAGGTGGCTGAGCTCAGAGGAGTCTCTGCCCCTGTGAACAGAAATGAATGCATGTCTCATCTCTGGAAGTCACCCAAAGGCTCCTGAACTTTAGAATTAACACAACAATGCCAGGTTCTCTGTTAGTAGGAAACAGAAAGTAGTGCCTATGGGCCTAACTTCTAGGAGAGAGATGCCACTGCTTAGGGGAAAGAAGGATTTGCATTGTGATTTGTGAAAGCCTTGTCTAAAGTATAGGAATTCACTATATGCATCTTCAAACCTGCAGTGAGCACTGTAAACCACATACAGAGAAACCAGAATTGCAGAGAGCACATTTGCAAAAGCGTATCAGTCTGGTTTGTGAAAGTGCCTTAGATAAGGGTCTGCAAAGAATGCAGGCCTGGTTTCTGCCTGTGCCATTACGTGTTGCCTTGAATGAGGTGGCGTAAGAGGTTCTGCAAGGTGAAAACTGAGTCATGGGATGTACAGGGCTCCGAAATGAATTGCAAAAATTAATAGGCAAATCTGTTAATCAGGAAGGAGAGAGGAAAAGTCTTGTATGTTAGGGA